AAATGTTGATGTCTAACCTTCACCTGCAATCACCCCAACTACGTGTGCCAACGTTTCGATTTTAAATGGCCTCACTGCGGCGCATCATTATAACAAGCTTCAAGGTCGCACGGGCAATGCAATTGTGTGTGAATCTGTTATTGCCATATGGGAACTGGTCAGCAAAATCTACGCAATGCTCAAGGCTATTGCTAGCGTTTGTGCTAGATTCTGGCATGTACAGAATCTATCCCAAACTCCTGAACAGCATCACCAAGAACTGGACAAGGAGTATGAAAAATTAACGAAATCAGTCGGTGCAGGTCAAATTCCGACAGTCTCATTTGGCCTTTTAGTAGCCTTTCTCACCTCCGGAGTCAAGGGCCTTTTGATTTTCCCCCGCGATCCCAAACGTTTTGGAGTCTGCAAACTAGCCCATTTCCTGGTCCTTGTCAGCAAGCTTCAAGAAGAACGTCCCATTGTTGAACCCTTTTGGAAGCACACACAGAGCTTTTTACTTGGGCTAATTCGTGAGGCTCTTTTACCACAAGGTTTTGATCAAGCAAGTGATTCCGTAGATGACACAACTAGTCAAGATGAATGGCATCCCAAGGAGTGCTCCAAAATTCAGCTTGCTGAAGCAATTCAAAATGACTTGGCCTCCTTTTGTCAAATAAGGTCTGAATTGATAGGTGGTCCTTACCCTGATAACCCTTATGACTTACCATTCCATTCTGTTACAACAGCTAATCAAACAATGCCCTCTCAAGATGTTCTTGAATAGTCAAATATTGATTGTACCTTGTGAAAAATTTTGTCAACGTGACAAATTCTTGTAGCACACGTTTGTAATGCTAACACCCTACCAAATACCTTGTTTTTGTTAGTTATCCAAGATTGTAACTTGCAATTTGTTTTGGAACCAGGAAACCTCAATATCATGGTTAGGGTACGCAGCCCAAACCCTAACCCTAGATACACAACATCATAACACTAAAGGCACAACCCAGTTTCTCGGCGAAACTGGATTAAACCCCTTAGCCCTTAAGCTGCCCCTTGCCCAAGCCTTCTCCCTGATTTCATCTCTTGATTTAACTCTAACACCGCTTGCCCAATACTCAAACTATCAAGCCACACAGCATTTGCCCCGCAGCTTCCTCCTCCGCCGTTTCGTTTTCATCCCCATCGATGATCTCTTACTGTTATCGTCTCGTGTCACGCCGCCATGACATGGCACCTCGTCTCGATTTCACTTGGCGATTCGTTTGCCCTCAACCTTCTCACCCGTCTCACCTGAGACACCCTTTCCACACCGTTTACTTACCCTGTACCTCAAGCTTGTAGCCCCTCTCACCAACAACCAAGCCATACCTCATACGACTTACAAACATGGTGATGGTCTCTCGATCCTATCCCCACCGATCCCAGGTTATCAAGATGAATCACCCTGAACCGCGCGGACTGATGGATTTCAATTTTTCGCTTATTTCCGCATACTCATCTCCATGCTTCCCGTCCCTCACGCCAAGCGCCCCCAAATATCCTGGATTCCCGTCAAGGTCTCTTTTTCACACCTCTGGACCTCGCTTGTGTTATCTATTCGCAGTGTCCATCGCGCTTCTCATCATCAAGCATTGGACCATGGCGATTGAGGTTACACAGCCTGAATCACTTCATCAAAGCATATAACCATCCGCCGCTGCCGCTAACCATTCGTTTTTTTAATACCCATATAGAATCATGCTAACAAATTGGTTGACTTTGCCTTCCACTGGTTCCTACGCCATCACGAATCCACACATTCCAGTTGAGGTAGTTGAACATATCATCCGGGAAATCATATCCTGTACGCCTGTCATAGGCCCTGACCGCACTAATTGCGCCGATGTAGTATTTTTGCATCATTCTTGCACCACTCGATTACTTCAGTTGCGCTTGGTCGCTAGATCATGGGATAGTGCAATCCTTTCCTTCGTTTTCAATCAAGTTCGCTTGACTCGTAATGAAATGACTCGAAGTCTTACACGCACTTGGAACGACTTTTACATTACTCCCGGCTTCCCTCGATTACAATACCTCTATCTGGATGGGCTTCACCATTCACAACTTGCCTCACGATCCTCTATCAACGAGGCCATGACCTTCGGGATTACACCACACCCGTTCTCTATATCACCAGAAAATGCCGCTTCTATCATATCCTTGTGCCACGTAACTTTGATCCGATTGAAATTACGGTTTACAGGACACGTTGGATTTGCCCCTGTATTGAGAGACGCTCTTGAACTTCTAACTGGTCTTGACGCTCTCAGCATCAAGGGTTCTTGCTCCCCAGACACTATACACGATTTACAATCTATCAAGCTGATGCTTGAGACTACGCCCTCACTCAAGTCCTTATCTCTCAAACTTTCACCATTACCGTCAATGACCTTACGGCCCGATTCTTTGCCGCATCTGCGACATTTGTGGTTGGAGTGCGACCCCAGTAACATCGACGCTGGCATCGATATCTGCTGTCCAAATGTTAGGCCCATCACTTTTTTGGAATTGTTCACCCATGAAGAATGCGACCCTGCCAGTCTCATTGCCTTAAAACTCACGGCATGCCTCGAAGTTCTCTTCATAGTCTCCATTCCTGACCGAGTTCCGGCGCCTCTCCAAAATGTCACTTTTCCCAAGCTCCGCATATTGCGCAGTGAGTATTGTCACCCGGTTCATGGGAATCTTGCATGGTTAGAATGGCCCCTATTAAGTACTATCGAAGTCTTTGTCACGAGTAATTGGAATGGCAGTGTTTACTGGCGAAGCGCACTATACTCGGCCACCCTTTTGACTTATAAATGGCCTGAGAAACTTAAGCACATGGTCTTTACAATACTTGAAGGGACGGCCGTAAATGATCTTGACTTAGTGGTAGCCTTCCAAAAAATCAAAGTTGAATGTCATTTTATATTTCAGCCAACCGAGGCAGATTTACAGGTATGTCAATTTTTGTCTCAAACAGATTTTGAGGTCAAAGTCTGACAGTACCACTATGTCAGGATCTAGCAGGCTTACTGCAAGATTAAAAACCACCACAGGTTGATGTTTGTAAATGGAACTTTGAAGGTGAGACATCCCTCTTGTACCAAACGATCCTGATCTTGATCAAAGTCAAACTTAATATCTCCGTCCAGGCCGAGTGAATCTTTTTTGTACGGTGGTATTGCTCAACGCATACTTCTAAGAGACCTGGCTTACTAGAGTATCGTGACCAGCCACAAGTTAACATGTGCAACCCCGATGAATCCACCTTTGTAAATTCACCTAACCATGCCATTGGACATTGACATCGTTAGTATGCGTCCACTCAGCTATTACACAATGCAAAATACGAGTACTTCACCCTAGATACCGAGTTGTTCCCGACACCAATCCCAAGCTGACGTGAAATGGGTCTCTGTGATCAAGTTTCTCAATTCTATTTTTCATGTTGTGTTCTACACTTTATTTCCCACTCCTACAATCCACAAAGCCCTGCATCATCTACATTATCGTTAGATTGTTATTATTTGAACCGAAACTTGAATTTTGTCCGTAAGCCCAACTTACCAGAGCAACGGGGGCAAGGCTGATTACTGCTACGCCTGTGCGGTTGGCATGCTATAGCGCAAAACCCCACAACCCGATGTCAAGGGAGGCGCCTCGACAATGAAAATAGCTCTCTCAGTGTGCATTTTTTGAAGACACCATGAAGAGCATGTTTGCCAGTCAATTCAAAAGACTGTATGACATTTTTAGCTAAACCCATTTCCAGAACGCTTCGGGCGAAAGCTGTTCCATAGTTCTTGTCCCCAAGCGATTGATCCAACCATGGCCACCGGCAGGCACACATCAAAGCTCACCTACACTGACTGAGGGAAAGTTTGACCCCGAGCCACACAAGAACACACTTAAATTTCAAAGTGTAGAGGAAGAGTTGTCGAATTGGTACCGGATCCCGAGGTCCCCCAACATAGCACCAAAAGTGATACCGTGCATCCCCGAGTTCGAGCTTTCCCGGATCGATTGTGACTTCTTGTGTAGTTTCAACCTTCAATTGCCGGCATTGCGCGTATCACTACTCTCCCTTGTAATCGATGCGAGCACTTCCCTACATCGCTTCGCTTTCCGAATGGAATAAGCCGCTGTCGAATATCCGCAAACAAACGGACACGGCGGCCACTACACCCACGTATCGCACAATACGATCGAATCGGCAATCAATCCGGATATTATTTTCAATGACTGCTTCCTCAGTTTCCTTCTTATCAAGTTGATTTAGCACTCAACCAACTATAGTCAAGCTGAAAATTCAACACATTCTTATTTCCCGCAAGTTCACTACATGCCAATCGCTAACAACATATGTCTTGTCTTTGTTTCTCATCCTTGCATCACATCAAAGAAAATACAACTTCGCTTGCGAATTTGTAATTCAAACTTTGCTTAGATCTCTATGTACAACGAACGACCCCATGGCTGGGACTCTCCAACCTATGCGCAACGACACCTACCCGACAACATGGGTGACCACTGAACGATGCGGTGTAATTACCTGGACTTGGACTCTGAACATACCCTGATTGCCTAAATAACCGCGAACACTTCGCGTAGCTGACGCTTGATTTTTTTCACCTGCAAGAAATACCCCATCATAGAGTCACAGCGTCACGTACATGCAAACGCCACATGGGTGCCCTAACTGGGGTCAGGCCTCTCCAACGAATGAAACATGGCTCACCATATAAATAGTAACCCGTTCAAGGTCGAATTCCAAGACAAAGCATCTGTCATCCAGTCCACATTCCAGCGGTTTGTCGGTTCCTCAATCGTAAGGCGCCGGTATTGATATCCTACATGCATACATCAACCTTGCCGCCCAATCATTAGATTCTGTGTTCGAACATCTGGCATTATCCCTCCTTTTCAGACAAGGCCCGCATTAATGTACAATTCATGCTTCTATTTGATTTTGTTTAGGACTCCGAAGGTCAACAATGTCTGGAGATTTAAACAAAACTACCGGTCATGGAGTTTACTTTTCTGGCAACTTTGAAATTGAGGAACAGGTCAGTCACTCTCTCCTTACCAAATCAAACATACATCGTGCAATTATCTGACATACTCATTGGATCTAGGTTTCAACTGATTTGAAACAAAAGGCTGAATACAGGACCTATGCCATCTCTATAAATTGTGGTGGTGCCGATGGAGGCGAACCCACACGATACGAAATCAGGGCACTTGGATATGGCCCAGAGTCTTTAGCTCTGAAGGAACGATTCATTTACTTCCTCAGAGGCTACTTCTTTCCTAGCAACACTACAGAAACCCTCAAAGATGCCTTCTATTTCGAAGGCTCGGACTACGCGGCGGTTGGACCAGCCGACGATTTTAAAGGTGATTTGGTAGACAACATTGGCGTAACTGGAATGGGCATTGTCATCAAACTCGGCCATGTTATTGAGGACTGTGTTCAAAACCTTCAAACGGACAGTGGAGAAGCTGTCAAGACCATTGTAGCTACTGTAAAACACACGGATTACCACCCCTCGGTGAGTTCACATTAACAAAATCAAGATCACAATAGCCTAATTTTCGTCTTATATCCACAGGTAAAGCCCGCGCCCGTCTTTTACGTCGAGTACCAAATTCGACCCTACAAATACTTATCCGGCATCCCTCGAATCCTCAAACAAGGCCGCGAGTGCCAATTTCATGGTTATCTCAAAGACTACAATGAAGAAACGCGTTGCTACGTGGTCATTGTATGTCACATTCTACATTCATGCTTCAACGTTCACAGGTGAACAGAGCTTCAACTACCTTGGGGCATCAAGACCCCAGCGAGTTTGCTGAGAAGAGGATCAAAATCGAAGGAAGCGGTGAAGCGTCCGGCCGTCCGAAGCCAAAGAAGTATGACAATGTAGATTAGAACATATAAGTATGATCATCTGACGCCCCACTGGCTTACATCAATTAGGTTTGTACCAAAATCTGTAACTGCGCCATTCAAGTCGCCAATCGTTCCAGCGGGGCTTGCCTCTACCATAGAGGCTGAGCCTGCGGACTTTCCACAAGCTCCACCTTCCCCTACTGGTAGTGACTATGTCGGTCCGCCTGGACAAGCCCCAGTGAGCAAAAAGAGGCCTAATACAGCTGCCGCCAAACCAAGGGTCCGAGCACGCCCTGCACGAAGGACATCGAGTACCTCAACCCTTGACTTGACTACTCAAGAATAAACACCTGTTCACAGACTAACATTGATGTACGTTGGGTCCATTCACCATCAAAGCCTATAAATTTAGCGAGAAGTCACTAACAAGCACAATTTAACTTTTCTCTTTGGAACTCCAGGGTTTTTGGTATCTAAATTGATCAGCAATGATCAAAACCAACATGCTCTTGACTTCATTTTAAAAGGCTTCTTTTGTTCCTCATATATTGATATGTCTCGTGATTCAATTGTAGCCGCTTTGCCCATTTTTCACATTGATTAAGCCCAAATAATCCTAATTGTTGTAACATTCGTTGCGTAATTAAAATTTGTTCTCGACCTACAAAATTAGGTGTAAAACGCGACTGGGACCTTGTTTGAGTGTCACTTACCCATTCATCACCATCTATATCGAGTCACCAGACAGCTATAGTTATTTGGGGTGTGAAGATCAAAGATCACGATTCCGGTCCCGGAAATGTACTTTTTCCCACGTCAACGCATTTTAATAATACAATTTTGGTGCCAATGGTCTATTTGTCTTACTTCAATGATAACTTGTATACAATCCTCATGTCTCTGTTTGATTATTTCCCAGTACCAATGTTTAACTATGAGACGTGGCTCATAGACTAAACTGGGGCCCAACAACAAAGCTAACCTAAGATTAACACATGCCACGTGGCAATGGTCTTTGTTTTGCCACTCCAGGTCTTGTTTGCCGTACTACTTGACGCTCGAAACAACCAAAAGATTATATCGGAGCCTAAAGACCACAGCCTGATAACGAAGTCGATGGAAATTGTACAGTGTCTTGAACCCTAATGCAATCAACGTTCACTCTTAAGGGCGGGTTTGAAGGCCCAACCCCCGCGCTGATGAAGTCACCAGGGGGACAGACAAACATCACAGGGACCAGCAACTTCTTCAATTGAGCCCATATTACGAATGCAATGGCGTTCGGTGGCGCTTTTTGTCAACCGGGGACTTCCGCATTGGCCCATGAGGGATGATGGAAAGGAGCAGCGGACACAACGTCACAGTTGTTGTATTAGATACGAGGCCAAAAGCACCCGGGACGTGGGCAGTCCCAATAACATAAGCTAACATGAATATCTACGATAATGCTTAACAAACCACGAAGCCAACTTTCTATTTAACAAGTTACTACCGAAAGACTCAAAATGTTTTGTAACACCCTCTCGATAACAAATACAATACCACACGTCTTCAACAAGCTTCAACACAATCTCCAAACTCGAGACACAACATTAAGGCAAAACTTCACAATTTGTAATATGGAGCCCGTGTACCGATGTTCTTCCTGCAACAATGAGAGCACATAAACAAATGAACGTGAGGAACGCCCCGTTTCTGATACTCGACAGAGAAAGATTGAAAATGCAAGGGTATTTCGCCCTTAGTAATACTTGAGTAACGTCTCAATCTGGGGGACTGTATAACCGATGTTAGGCCCTGCTCTTGAACGGGAAATCCTGGAAACTTTGTTTCAGAAATTGTTTTCATTGGTGGTCTGCTTCAATTTCCATCAAATTAGTCATGCACCGCGGTTTACAAGGGCCTCATTAGTTCTAACTCGAAACAGCAGGAAACAAACAAGTATCTTACCTCAAAATCCCACTCTCAGGTTCAACTACACAGTCCAACAACGCCATAGAAGCTATGGCAGTCGTTATTGATCGTAATATACGTGGGATAATGATAAGTTTGATGCGTAGATATGGCATCTCTTGGTCGACAAAGTGAATTGTATATTGGAGTGGTAAGCCACCGTGTTTTTCTTGGATATTCGAAAATCTCGCAATGATTTGTGTCGTAGCAAAATACATTGATCTTGCGGATTGTTCAGCAGAACTGTTATGGATACTATGATCGTGGACGCTGCTTAATGTTAAAACATATTTGGACTGAGAAGGCATGATTTCTACGTTTTGGGAGGCAGGCTGAATGACTTTGGGGCACAAGTGGGGAGTATCGTGGTTAAGTGCTGGTTTTATATGAGCTCAGCGAGACTACCATATCCTTGAACCCGTATATGGGATAAAATCAATCTCTGAGGCTCAACACATGGCAATTCGCTACAACATCAGGGAATTTCACAGCAATACGCAATAAGATCCGTGGCATTCATCTAGCCGTCGTCGGTGACAAATCACAAATCTTCACAAGCTTATCGGTGCAAAATCAATACCAACTGCCTGCCAATCTAAGTCAAATTCGGATTCCTTCATACACGAAACTTGTGATTTCATTGACTTGGTGAGTCATTTTGAATCCCCGATAACAAAGTTACACAAATCACTTCATGATCAATACGAACCCATTAACGCAGACACATGCATATCTTGCCACATTTCTGTCAGAAAGCAATGATGTCGCTCGAATCAAGCGTAGCAGCATCAGGGAGAAAATGATTACCTCCTTGCTGCCACCCACAAGGACTTTTCTTAAGCTTCCGACACGCTTATTGTAAAGAGTTCGGAAAATATGAATTTGACAATTCGCGGCCTTGTGGGGCAATAACCTTTCCAAAAATACACCCGAATGTAAGACCATCCTCCATAACAATCGACATCACACTACTTTGACGCATTATCAAACTTGAAAACGCTTAATATTAACATCTGCTTGGCTCCAACAGTATCCCCAAACCAGACATGGAACTTATATAGACACAGACCTAAATAGGTTATGGCTCATTGATCAACCTACATATAAACTTGAATTTTCATGCGATGGAATCACAATCTGAAGCTCAATCGATAGGCGGTGCTGAGTGACTAGCAGAAGGGGAATTGTTTGGCACTGCGACTGCAACTTGGCTCCGAATTCCTGGGCACGATGCCCAGGGTTTAGGCTCAATACTCACTCTACTTGAACCATCCACCAAACCAGGTACGTACCCAAAAGATCCTTACAATCCGCATGCGATCCTGATCAAACCTTGGGATGTCAGAGTCACTCGCAACGAATCATAAGCCGAAATGATGTGTTTCATTAGGGCACCCACTAACCAACGATTACCTAGGAACCAAGAAATCATTACATTTTGTATGCGTTTGAGTGTCACTACTCGCATCTTCAAACACGCACAACCCAGAGGTTTCAAAACACTTTTAAGTAACCTGCTCCAATACCTTCACTACACCTAATACAAATTTCAGTTTCGCCCTTAAACTATAACCCTTTTTAGCATACTACAGATAATATGCCTCGGGGGGCTATGCGCCGGCAAAACAATGGCCCTGCAATTCGTGCAGAGGAGTTCGGATCGGAGGCCAATTTACTCCACCACTTTCGCGGCGAAATTCCATTCCGCCTTGGTCCTATGAATGATCAATGCAATGAATGTGGTGCATTTAGATGGAAAGCTGAACGTAGGGTCAAGGATACCAATGCGTTAACGGCTACTTTCCGCAATTGTTGCAACCATGGGCAGGTTGATTTGCCTTTGAAGTATTTTCCCGATGATGTTGGTGAAGAAATCCCAGAATTTTACAAGGAACTTCTAAGAGGTGATGACCAGAGTAAGTCTTCCTTTTAATTCTTTGACTTGGTAGTCCTAAACTGAAGAGACTTTTGTAGGATGCCGAGACTTTCGCGAGGACATCCAGAAATACAACAGTGCTCTCTCTTTCACGTCTCTCGGGGCAAAAGTTGACGGCTCAGTTTTGGGCAAACGTGGCCACTCCATCGTTTGGATTAATGGTCAAATGTTCCACCTCATTGGCTCATTGATGCCCATGCCTGAAAACCACCCAGGATTTGCACAAATCTACATCTACGGAGGCGGAGGCGAACACGAAGCCTCGTTGCGTGTTGAGCGTGCGCGGGTGACTCGGCTTCAGCATGACATTATGCTTCAATTCCAGGACTTCATGTACGAGAACAATCCCTAGGCTCAAACCTTCCGATCAGCCGCAGCGGTTTGTAATTCGACTGGACCCGTGCGCACGCTTCGCATTAACACAGTGACTGTCCCCGGAACTGATCATAGGAGGTACAATCGACCGACCGCAAATGAAGTTGCCACAATAATTGAAGGGGATGGCGAAATTGGGCGTCATGGTCGTGACATCATCCTTCGAAGACAATCCGGGTTGATCGAACCAATTTCGGAATTACATACAGCTTACTTCGCACTTTGATATCCGCTGTTATTCCTCTATGGGTCTCAGCTATGGCACGATTCATACACAAACCCAACGGAAGAGAGTAAGTAAATCCCTGCTTCATAACAATGTATACAAATCGTAACCTATGTTTTTGACGATTAGACCCAGAGGGATCGGTCACTTGCCTCAAATGGTTCGCGTATCTCTTGTTCAAGCGGCCAACGTATTCCGTCATTCTAGCATCAGGCTTCCTGTTCCAAGAATTTGCCGTGGACATTTATGTTTGCGTTGAACATGCTCGATTAAACTTTATTCGCTTCCATCAGAAGGAACTTAGGGCTGAGCTATATAATGGTATAGTTGAAACTCTGGGTAACGAGGTAGACGATGAGATCGTCGGCCGAAGGATTGCTTTACCTTCCAGCTTCGCAGGTGGGCCCTGGAATATGCAAGCCCTTCACCAAGACGCCATGAGCCTGGTGGCAGAGTATGGTCATCCTAGCTTATTTATCACGATGACAGCTAATCAGCAATGGAATGAAATCACCAAAGCCTTGGAAGACAATCAAATTCCAGACGATCGGCCTGATCTCGTTGCCCGGGCATTTCATTTACGCTTTCACGCTTTACTCAGTGACGTTACAAAATGGGGCCAACTTGGAAAATTCAAAGCTTATGTCTATTCAATTGAGTTTCAAAAGAGGGGTCTTCCCCACGCTCATTTGATCCTGTTTTTGGACCCAGCCTCGCGACCAACCACGCCAGAAATGGTGGATTGTTTAATTTCCGCTCAACTCCCAGACCCTGAGATGGAGCCAGACTTATTTCGTCTTGTGGGACATCACATGATGCATGGACCTTGCCAAAACTACAAGTGTTGGAACGGAAGAGAATGCAAAATTGGCTATCCCAAGCCTTTCTGCGAATCAACCTCTCTGCCAGATAATCAATATCCAACTTACAAGCGCCCTAACAATGGAAGATACTGCGTCAATGCGGGCCATCGCTTTGACAACGGCAGTGTGGTTCCTTATAATCGATTTTTAATGCTCAAATACCAATGCCATATGAACGTCGAAGTCGCAGCAAGCATCCAAGCAGTGAAATATTTGTTCAAATACATCTTGAAAGGGCACGATCGGACCATGGCAAGGGTCGAGGAACAGACAAATAGGGATGAAGTATTGGCTTTTCTCAACGCACGTTTTTTGAGTGCACCGGAAGGTAAGCGCCGTAATGTCTTCATGTGACGATTTGACTAATTTGTTTTTTACCAGCTGTGTGGAGGCTTCTGCAGTACGAGATCTCTGGTTGATACCCAGCAATTCAAAGGCTTAATTTACATTTGGAAGATGCCCAGACTGTTTATTATCTCAATGAGGCTGGGCTTTGTAGGGCAATGGACACAGGCCGCGCCCAACGAACGACTTTAACTGAATACTTCAGGTTATTCCGGGAAAATTGCAGACTCCCAAGATTGCAAGAAACAATAAGATCAATTAAATATCAGGATATGCCTAAACATTTTAGATGGGTTAAAGAAACAAAAATATTACAAGCAAGAAAAAACAAACTAGAATCTATAGGCCAAATTTACTATGCTGGGGTCAGACGTGGGGACGTTTATTACCTACGCCTTTTGCTACAGCACATCGCAGGACCGACCTCATTTGCATCTCTTAGGACTGTCAATGGAATAGTGTACAATACCTTTCGTGAGGCTGCAGATCAACATGGCCTTCTTCTAAACGACAGACATTATCACGAATCAATTATCGAGGCCGCGGTTTGGAAGACGGGACATCAACTCAGGCAAATGGTAGCTATCATCCTCTGCCATAGCGCGCCATCAGACCCGGTGCACCTATGGTCCGAACATATCGAAGCTCTTTCAGACGACTGCGAGTATAAGATTTTAAGATTGAATCCTCGAGCTATGCCGAGTCGCAAACATATTCAAAACTACGCTCTTCATTTGCTCAAAAAAACACTTTTTCGCATGGATAGTGATCTAGAATCTGTAGGACTCATGCCTGTAGATAGACAACTAATTCTTGAACTTGGTTTACCGGACGGGGAAGGCATCAACACCACGTTTGCTGTTCAACCCAGCGGAAGCAGAACTAAGTACGAAACCATGTCTTGTCAGCTGACAAATGAACAACGACAAGTAGTCGACAGCGTGATTGATGCTATACAAGCCAATGAGGCGCATATGGTTTTCCTAGACGGGCCTGGGGGCACAGGAAAAACTTTTGTACTCAATACCATACTCCACTTTTGTAATGGTAACGAAATCCCTTTTGAGGCTGTGTCAGCCGCGGGAATCGCATCCTTGCTTTTGCTAAATGGGGGCACCGCACACAGTACATTTAAAATTCCGATCCCAATCTTCGCGGATTCTGTTTGTCCAATATCGCCTAATACAAAGTTAGGACGTATGCTCCGGGCCGTTTCTTTCATTGTCTGGGATGAAGTGGCGATGCAACATCGCCACGCGGTCGAAAGCGTAGATAGGACTCTACGTGACTTAACCGGGATAGACCTCCCGTTTGGCGGAAAGGTGATCTTATTTGCAGGTAAGTGACGATTATACTGGTCATGAGAAAGACCGTTTGTTTAGAGTCGTACTGATATTGTCCGACTGTTTGAAGGCGATTTCCGTCAAACATTGCCTATAGTTCGAAGAGGCAACCTTTTTAGTCAAGCTAATGCTACCCTCAAAGCTTCCTACCTATGGTCAGACATACAAAAATTCAAACTAACGGTCAATATTTGGCTCGGGGGACTAGAATACCGTCAAA